GTGTGTGTGTGTTCTTATCGGTATTGTCATATGGAATAACTGGTTCAAAGATTCACGCTACCTTTGGTTCCGACTTTACCTTGTGTGAATTACACTATAGTTAGATTCAAATCGAAAGATATCTAATCCTTATACATTGGTATCGTATACTTTGAATATGAGATTTTATTGAGTGTTGAACAAGTGGGGAATTGTTGTATATTGTTCAACATCAATAAGAACCTAGTGTGGAATAAGACAAACAATTAGGAGCCATTGCATTGACCTATGTGACCACATGGGTCAATAGGCCAAGCAGTCGGATGGCCTACTAGAGAGATACGAGGGCAATGTTGTCTTTGAACCATGCAATCGCATGGCATTGTACCATGCGGTTGCATGGATGTCACAAAGTGATTGTTGGAGGTCATTTTTCAATTGGTTTTTTGGCGGCTTTTACAAGGTTTTTTTGCAACTCTTCATCATGTTTTGACCCCAATTCATGGGGTATTAATTGACATCTATAAATAGGTGATAAATGATCAATACAATAATATTAAGAAATCACATGAGAAACATATGAAAACATATACTTCATTCCATAAAAATGATCAATCTTCCTTTCTTTCATATTCAAGCAATTGTGTTCTTCAAGTTCGAGTAGAAAAACATTTATACTTTAGTATTTTCTACAACAAAGTTTGATCAATCCTACTAACCGTTTGCCATAAAACCCTTAAAGCATCTCGTATAATTCGGAGAGGGGGCAAATATCGTTCAAGTACAGATATAATATTTTCGTATTTGAGCCTTTATATTGAATTTGTTCTTCTTGTTCATTTTCATCTTCTTGAATTTCCATTTCTTGGTTTCTTCTCCAAACCCTAGTGTTTGATAATTTTCCAACATTGAACTCAGTGTTTATGTACATCAGAATCACGCATACACAGAGCCATGCATACCCGGAAATCAGTGTTTTTGAGACCTTTGGCACCCAGCAGCTTCACCTCCATTAATCCAATCACCATATCTCTCTCTCTAAGTCCGCGAAAATATAATGTTCAAAGAGATTAGAGTCTTTGTGGGTCGAATACAAATTAAAATAAGTGAATCTTTAGAACAGTCCTATAATGTTTGTAGGACTCAGTTTCTGAGGGAGGCTTCATTTTATGGGCAAGAGGCTGCGACTACAGAGCATATTGGCAGCTTAATTTTGGAGTTAAAAAAAAAAAAAAAAGGAAAAAAAAATTCTAGTTGGATAGTTCTGATTACTAATTAGGCGGCAATCAACCTGATCTCCTTTCTTGCTTGACGGCTTCCCATCTGAACTAGTTGATTGTAATTTAATACATGGTCGTTTCCTATCTCATTCTTTTAGTTTCCTAGAGTAGATTAGATAAATTTATTTATTGTGTCTACAGTCTAATACTACACAAACTGCCGGCCAAAGAGAGAAGTTCCCACTAAATAATTTTCATTGAATTCAAAACATATATAGTTATGACATATTGACACTATGTTGAAATATTTTAAATGATTAAATTGTGTCTTCAAATCCCATAGTTTGCCCAAAATTTTATCAGATATTTTCCACTAGTCCCTTTAACTTATTTAATTTGACTCCTCCATAAGATTTCCCAAATTACCTTAGCTTCATATTTATTCAATCCCGTGGAGAATAATTGACTATGTAGTTACCATGTGACAAATAGATAAAGTATATATTTTAATTTTTCTAATAACAACATGATTTAAAAACGTGTAACAAGATAGAAAAAGTAAAGAATATTGGGACGGTAATAATTCACCTACTCCATTAGCGTTGAATTTTCAGAATTTGTCCTTAAGCTAGGTCCCGTTTGCCATTAAACGACAACCATATTGAGTTTTGATCATCAAGTTCGGGCTACTTGTGCCTAGTGGTGCCAATAATGTTGAAGTATAAATACACTTAATAATGGTATGGCGTAACCCAAATTTCTTACATTTGTTCAGTTTGAACTTGTCGATAATGCGTTGAAGTAAAAAATCACCACTGACTAGGAAATCTGGGAAACCTCTCCAGCAGTTGTGAAAACGGAGCGTTGCTCCAATTTCTGCCAGTAGGGAAATGGGAGTGGGGGTAAGGGAGCATTTTTATTCTTTGTTTACTTTGTTATCAAACTAAGAGAAAAATAAAGAATAATAGAAGAGAAGTAATAGAGTCAAAACTCAAGGGCATATTTTTATTATAACAATGATCTCTATATTTAGGGTTTCAACAAAAATTACAATATAAATATAATATACTCTTTTAGAGTAAGGTTTAGCTAAATATTTTGATAAAGCTAAATAATTGTTAATATTTATTCCATAATATTACAGCATTCCACCTTTGATAACTATTTTCACAATAATAGCCTCATTAAAAACCTAGTTAGACAAAAATATCAAATAAAGAAAAAAGTATACAACTAATTATAAAAAATTGAAATAATTAAATTGTGCATTATTTAAATCTTATTAAGAAAATCCAAAAAAATAAAACTCGAGCGAAGGAAAAAGAGTACGCCAACTCCCCAAATTTAAATTAATTAAAATCATTGTATCGAATCTCCATGTTTTGTACGTCAATGTCTTAAATATCATAATTTGGTGAGTATATTTCATATTGTCTTGTTATAGTATTCAAAATATCATATTCGAACAATATATTGATCAATCTTTGATGTATGTAGTAAGATTGTGGTTTGGCTAAAATATATATATATGTATATACGTATATGTATATATATGTGTGTGTGTGTATATATATATATATCTTGCTCTTGTTCTCTTCGTGAGCTATAATACATAAGAGTATTAGCTGATGATAAATGTCTTATAAATTATAGAAATTATTAAAACAATATGCCTCGTTAAAATCTTAGAAAGAAAAATTTCGTAGAAAAAATTCTAGTCAAGGAAAAAGAATAGTTTATCCTTTTGAATATGCTACAAAAGTTGTCTCATGAAAACTTTGAGTGAAAAATTCATGAACACAATCTTGATCATGAAAAAAAGAAAAGAAAAAAAGCACAACCCGTATTTACTTGCCCTCATGATAATATCACTTCTCGAAATATATGCTTTAGGCATAATAATTCATTCAAAAGTATATATGTTATTGGATTGTAATGATAACTTATATATTTTAAGTTTTTGAGAAGTTCATTATGTTAAGAGTCCTGAATTATCTATTACGATTTCATTTTTTTTCATTTTCTTTTCACATTATACATATTTAGGCGTTTGAAGTGCAAGTCCACAAACACCATATTTCTTTAGCAAGTTCAATTTTGCTAGGATTGTATCCTTTTATTTAGTAAATTATTTTTACGTTGTTATTCTTCGACGAATTTTCATCAAATAATTCATAAGATGAAAGTGCTACATTATGTAAAAAATAAAAAATAAAAACGGTTGTAAATAATTTTTTGTATTCAATTCCATTTTCCATTTCTTTTACCAAAACAACATAACTTATTGAGATATCTTAATTTTCAATATTTCATGTACCCGTACCTCTTTAGAATTTTGCAATTTGTTATGCCTATATACTTACTAAAAGTATATGCCTTCTCAATGGATTATACTCATTGTATACTCCATTTTTTTGGAGATTTTAATCTTGGAATATAATGTCATCACGCTTTAGACCTGTCACTAGTTTATCAAATATAACGTTCACGCTTTAGTGCAATGTGGTGGAGGGATTTTACGTATATTGCACTATAAAAAATAATTTGATAAAATATATATACACTCTAAACATAAGCCAAATATAGGAGAATTTTGATGTTGATATAATACATATAGTTAGCGGTGGCAAACGAACCGAGCAGCTCGTCAACTCGACTCATAAAAACTCAATTTGTGGGCTACTTGGGCTTGTCCTTGGACGTTGAGGCGAGCCACAAGCCTCACCATCTACAGTGACAAAAATGGTCACTTTTTTGTCACTGTAGATAGTTCAATGATGATAACGGTCACTGAACTATTTAACGTAGTCGTTTACTCTAAATACATAAAACCCATTTCATTTTTTTACACACCAACAACAATTTTCACTATTTTTCACCTTCTGCAATTTACTATATTCTACCTTTAATTTTAATATCACTAAAAATTTACAATCTTATATTTTCTTCCATACTCTTTATTTACTTATTTTACTATACAAATTACAATACATATTCTCTACATAATATTTTATGCACCAATTCATTACAACTTACGTTCCTATAATTATCAAATTTCTACATGTTCATTTGTCATTTCATTTTCATTTAATTTATTATATTATCAATTCATCACAAATGGATCTAGATCATTGTTGAAGGCTTGTTCAGCATTAAGTGAAAATTACCTATGACTCCACAAAGTCAATTTCACAATGAATTTGTTGGTCTCACCGACGTACTCATTCCTTAAAATATTCAAGATTCGATGCTCACAAAAGTAGTAATCCAATTTATTTGGATGACGTTGATATTCCTGAAACGGAACAGGTAGGACTAGATATTCGCGATGGAAGGGGAAAGCGAAATGAGAAAAATCGACAAAATGTTGGGATCATTATCAATTGATTTCAACGGGTCATACGATCAATGGAGTCGTAGAGTGTAAATTAGTATGTAAATACTATTAGATACGATTAGCATGACAAAAGGGTATCGGTACCACTCACGTCAACTGTCACTACAATAAATGTGGGGCCAAACATGGGCTTGTTGGTGGCATTCAAATGCAACTACAATTTGGCAATCCAATCGTCAGTTCTGCTTCTACGACACTTAACACTTAGCCTCTGAAGCTCATCTCTTAAATAGGCCAAACCAAATAATAAAGTTTTGGGACCTTACATCCCTTACATCTTAAAAAAATTTGGTCCTTAATATTAACTTTGTTTAGACAAATAGTGTCAAATACTTGTTCTTGATTTTTGCTTCAGTTTTCCAAGTAGCTCTTTCAATTATGTGATACCACCATTGCACCTTGACTAACAAAACCTCTTTGGTTCTCAACTTCCAAACTTTTCTATCCAAGTAAGAAATTGAAATTTCTTCATAATAGAAATCTTCTTGTATATGAGTTGAAATTGATACAAGAACATATCATTAATACCCTAAATCTTCCAATCAAAGTATACAAATTTCAATAACCTAAATTCACATTTTTAAAATGTTCCATTGCTTGTTCTTTCTCGGGATATCCTCGTACTTTTTGTAACCCAGATTAAAGGTTGAATAATCAGCTAAAATTATTTGTTTAGAGTCCCTAAAGCATTTCAGATTCAATGAGAGGGAGCAAAGAATGCTTGTACAACAACGTTAAATTCTCGAATCAAGTCAGTATGTATTTTTCTTCTTCCTTATTGTTCTTGCTACCAAAGTCTGATTCTTTTGGTGGTTCGTTCTTCATCATCCAAATATCTTCGTGAAGATTTTCGAAAAATGCCTTCTTCAACGGTTTCTTTCTGTAATCAAATAACATTGTACATCAGTATCAAGTTGTTTAAAGAAGCGTAAAACTTATTGTTTGTTCAGGTTCCATATATATATTTTTCTTGTAACTTTCCAATTCTAATAATATTGGTCACTTTAGGTTTGAGGGATTATTTTATATCGTTACCTTTACAGTAAAAGTAATTCCAACTTGAATCTCTCCGCGATAAGTTAGGTTGGTATATACAACTCTGTGTTTCTGAGGATGAAGTTTAGCCTTTCCTTTCTCCACTCCTAATTCTATAAGTTCTTTCACATAGATCCTGCATTTAGATTGTGATATGTTACACTAGACTAATTAGAATAAAACTAGACACAATTATATTAGAGATGTTTTGATAAATATCATATTGTCATACTTTGCCTCGCCGAGATAGTCATCTGGATTGTACATGTCGTGATCCATGATCTTGAGCACGAGTTTGTACTGATCATCATCAACTGGATAATCGACTATATACTTAAACTTCTCATTCCATATTGGATTGCGACCTTGCCCTATATGATTATAGAAATTAAAATCTCATTAGTTATTTTATATTGGACTCTAAAAAGTATGTCATTTTTTTTAATTTTTTTTTGTGTGTTATCGTTGGAGCGTTGTCAGAGCAAGTATATTCTTTGAATATGTTGACAAGTAGTTTATTTATCTAACTTGAAAAAACAAATTATAGTGCACTTGCGCGAGGAATGTTACCTTTTGCAATTCTGCTCTTGTACTCTTGATTTCTGTATTGAAGCAAAACGTATGGATCTATTCTACCTGCAAAATAATGTATAAGACATATTATCAGCTATTTAAAATCACATTGACTGGTATCTTTTAAAGTTCTCATGGTGGTAGGATTATAATACTAATAAGTAGTAGAAAATAAATAATAAAATAAAGGATACGTGTTTGATACTTTGAAGTGTGTATAATTTATCATAATTAAAGAATCAATATATTTTGTCAATTGTTTTATGTCTCATGTAATAGAGTACAATGTAAAGCATAATCACATTGACTGGCCATTATATGAGGACCTTTTGTAATATTAAACTTTTCAGAGAGAAACCACCAAAAAAAAAAAAGGAGAAAATGAAGAAAGATAGAAAAAACAAGAATGTAGTTTCATCAAGGAAATCACATTCAACAAGTTACATCGAAAAAGACTCAATATGATTAAAGAAGAGTAAAGTTTTTGGATTGATTCATCCAATTCAATTGTGTCGATGAAATGTCTTAGTCCTAAAAAGACTCAATACGATTAAAGAAGAAAAATGTTGATTAAGGAAATCTTGTTAATAAATTAGTTTTGGGTTCAATATGAGAAAAAGAACTCAAATCATTTAATAATGATTTTTCTCTTCTCAACATTCAAGAAATGCATGATTCATTGAACTCAACACTATATATCTGTATATTAGAATCACATATACAGAGCCACGCATACCTAGGAAATCTGAGCGTTTGAGACCTTTAGCACCCATCAGCTTCACCTCCATTATTCCAATCGCCATCCCTCTTTCTCTCTAAAATTGAGAAAGTATAATATTTAAAGATATTAAAATCTCTCTGTGTCGAAATTAAGGATATGAATTAATATAAGAGAATCTTTAGAAAGTCTTTTAGTCTTCGTAGGACTCAATTTCTGAGGGAGGCTTCATTTTATAGGCAAGAGGCTGCGTCTACAGTTGTCTTAATTTTGATAAAAACTGGTTGAATAGTTGTAATTACGCACGCGGCAATCATTTGACATCTTCCAATCTAAACTTGTTGATAGTTATCTATTACGTGACTGTTTCCTATCTCATTCTTTTGGTTTCGTGGGTAGATTTTTGTGTTGTTAATTACAGTCTAACACGGCTGCCAAAGAGAGTAGTGGACCCTACCAAGAAATGTGAGTTTAAAATCTTAGACCTGTTTCAGCCGCATTCTTTAAAAAAAAAAATAATAATAATAATAAAAAATAATAATAATAATACATTCTTAAATAGTGATTAACATCATTTCATTGCACATTATTCAATAAAATAATATTACACACAAATTCAAAATTTTTCCTTATTTTTTAACAACATATTCTCCATTAATTTAAATTGTTTCTGTATATAACATAGTGCTCTCTCATATCAAAAATGTATTTTATAATTTCATTTGAGGTCTTGATATATACACAGTTTTCATAAATGCACGATGACAATATTTGAATACAAAATTGAATTCAAAACATAACTAGTTAACTAGTCACGATACCACTATTCATTTAAATGATTAAATTGTATCTTCAAAGTCCAAAGTTTCCCCATAGTCTTTTCTTGGATATTTTCCATTGGCCCTTTAATTTGACTCATCCAAAAGATTTCAGCATGATTAAAATAATTGCAACATGTTAGAAAAAGTCTAAAGAATATTGGGACCAGAATAATTGACTTACTCTTTTGTGAATTGAAGTTGAATTTTCAGAATTTAACCTTCACCTTCTTCCCTTTTGCCATTAAACGACAATCTTATTGGTGTTTTCAAAGAAAGCTTCCGTGACTTGTGATATTTGCGAACAATAAATTTGAAAATTGTGTTGGAAAAAAATCTAGTCAATCCCTCAATCCCGACCAATTGAACATATTGTTTTTGTTCTACAAGTAAACGGATGCTTAGATTTTAATTCAGATTTTTTTTTTGACAAAAAAATTCAAAACTTTACATATTTCGAAATAAAATCCGATGTCTAGCACTTTAGATACATTTTAGAAGTAAATTTAGTGAATCAAAACAATTTTAGAAGAAATATTTTCATTTTCTGGGGACTAGGTTAGAGCGCTTGATTTACTTTAAAATTCCTTTGGCACAAATACATTGGAAAACTTTCTATAAGTAAATTTTTTATGGTTTCAGATTTATTATTATTATTATTATTATTATTATTATTATTATTATTATTAGAACAATCACTTGTCTATTCATGGCAACGCATTTTGGTAGAAAAGAATTGTCTTTTTTTTTTTTTTTTTTTAATTCTTTTCCTACATTTTAGGGCACAGTTTTCATGCGATTGACTAGAAATAGGAACATCCCTTTAATACAATATTATTTGCGTGTTTTTCTATGACCATTTTATCGTTATCTAGGGAGGAATAACAAGATTTAACTCGGGAAGAAACAAACAACATTGATCATGTTTTACATACACAGTGCAGATAATTCTTCATCACAATCCTAGTATACATTAACTCTTGAAAATTAATAATAGTAGTAGTAATGTCAATATACATAGAAAATTTAGGTTACTGAGTTATTTTAACTCTAAGGGGGCATTTGATTGCAAACATAAAATTTGTATGAAAAGAAAAAAATTTAGGAAATTTAATTGTCTAGAACTTATTTTCATGGAAATTGTCAATTAAATGTGTTTGATTCATCTAATTTTCAACATAGAGGAAATAATACTTGTCAGTTTTTTTATCGATGGGTAGATGAAAATGTGTGGATAAATGAACGAATGAATGAATTCTCTGGAAAATAAAATCTTACTCCATTTAAAAAAAATATTTTCCTTGATTTTGAGGAAAATATAGTCACATAACCAAAAGTAGAAAAATATTTTTCATGTAAAAAATGTCAATTAAACAATACAAAAGTAGGAATTTAAGTAGAAAAAATATATTTTTCATGAAAAATATTGACAATCAAACACACCCTAATTGTTAATATTAACACCATGTTGGTCCATACTATTTTTTTAGGGTTTTGTTTGATCATCTTGTGAAATTATTGAACCCCTCCTCAACCGAGGGATTTTTGTACGAATACATAAATGCATTTAATGATGGGTTGGTTACAACATTGACACATGAAAATCCAATGGACGTTGTTGGAGAGTAGGGTTTTAGAATTTCACTTGTAATTATTCTTTTAAGCTTTACTTTTATCTCTCACACATAAGTAATTTAGCAATGATCGACTTTAATTTCTCGTACAAGAGTATATCATACCATGAAATGTACCCATAACTTCCATTTTGCTACATGTTAATTCTTTCTTTCCAAAAATAATAATTAACTAGCAAAAGCATGGCTACCATTATCTTTGATATGTAACTGTTTCGCGCGGGTTAAGTCGCTAACAATTAAAAAGGATCAGACGATTGTGTAAGGGACGAAACCTCTTGAGACAAAGTCCCAAAAAGGGGTTTCTTTTATTGGCGATGAACTTTACAATTGGAAATGGAAAACAACGTGCCTCCACGGGGCGCAAGCACACGAGTTACTGAAAGAAAATTGTTTAATTCTAAAAAAACTAAGGAAATGAAAATTACATGTTCTCTATTCGAGAGTTTTGGATTCGGTCTCTTGCTTCTATGTTGTTTCTCCCTTTTATACTTCATAGACGATCTTTTTGTGATTAACTGCTCTAAAAACTGCTTGATCGTCCTATAACTACCGACTTTCTTCGTAGTGGCCATTTTATCATGAAAACTGCCTTTTAACTGCTGCCATTACCTTTCATCATTCAACCGCTTTCGATTGAATTCCTTGAGTCGTGGAATGTGATAGGGCTGTTTTAACAACTGCCTTGATAATTGCATTTCTTGATAACCACGACGCGTTAAGTCTGTTGATACCTTGGGCGACTTGAAGGTTTGGGCGAGAACAGAATAACAGCTTTGGGCGACCGTATGACACTCTATTCGTTTAGATTCTGGGCGACTTGCAAACTTGGGCGATGGCGTTACAGCACTCTTGAGCCCCCTTATTTAGGCCTTCACCTTGATTTGTTCGATTGGACTCCATTCTTTGGACTATTTGATTTGGGGATCCTCCAATTGGGCTTTACTCCTTGGACCGTTCGATTTGGGCTGAATTTTTATGTGTCAACAATTACCCCATAATATGACAGAATTAATAATAATTATTGAATTTTGCCATATTCACTTTGTGTTTCCAACAACGTTCGAAATTCCCAAGAATTTCAATCATTGTTTCCTTCTATAACTTGAAAAGGTGCGTCGTTTTGCAAACCCTTATAAACCCCAAACACGCCATTTCACTGCTACCAAACCACGCCTCATATTTTTTTGCATCTCTTTCACAATTCACTGTTCATCTTTTGCTTCCTTGTTACGTAACCCTGAAAAGCTTCGTTCCTTCTCCAATGGCTGCTTCACAATCTCAAGCTAGCGACTCCTTTAGTTTTGACGACTTTCAGAAACTTCTGAGTCGCCCATACATAACCCCAAGTTTTCTCGCGCCCGCCGACGTTGGACGTAATGAGTTTTACTTGGGTCCTTTCTTCAACAATGCGGAGGCAGTTGAACAGGCGGCGGTGGGTCAGCTGTTCCCTTGCACTCACGGCCCTCCTTTTCTAAACTCTCTGCCACTGGGGCCACTTCGCGAAAGAGGTATTCGTACTTGGCCTAAATCTGATGTAGCTTTTCGTAGGTGGCATGCTCGCCTTGTGGGTCATGGTCCTACTAAGACACTTTTTGATAGTGCTAGGATTTCTGATTTGTTAGAAGTCTCTATTCGCCCCCTACTTTTGATTCAGCGCTCTTTTCGATTGCCTTGAGTTTTTGGTCCCCTGAGTATAACACCTTTATTTTTCCTCTTGGCCCCATGTCTATTACGTTAAGGGATGTTGGGGCCCTGGTGAATCTACCACCTTTGGGCGTACCATTTTCCCAGGTATCTTAGTTTCTGGTGGAGCCCCAAAGTTTGGTAAAAACTATACCGACTCTTATTCAAGTCTGCAGACCCTCCACAATCATTGGAGTGCTGAGCCTACCCATACTGAGCGAGTGGCCTTTCTTTTAGTTTGGCTTTGTAAATATGTTTTGTGCGTGCCAAGTATAAAGCCTTCTCTGAGTTATTTACCCATAGCGCACGAATTGGCGCGTGGCAGGCCTTTGAATTTATGTTCTTTGTTTTTGGCTGCCCTTTATAGAGGCATGGCCTCTCTTCAAGCTCAATTGAAGAATGGTGCATCTCCCACTAGTAGTGGACCCCTTTGGTTTACTCAACTGTGGTTGAGATCCTATTTTCCATCACTTGGTGCTCCATCCATTTCTTGTCCTTCTGCTAGCTATTACGGGCTAGCTATGGAGCCCCTAACTCCTGTAAATATGTCCAGAAGGGATATTTTTTCTTTCTTTTATTCTTTAGATTCAATCTCTTCCTTTTTTCCTTTCCCTCCTTTCTTGACTCCAAACTATGTATATCCCCCTTCCACTATAGATAGCGCGAGCACCTCCCTGCTCATTTGGATCCAATTTTTAACCGGGAGGGAGCTTTTCCATGATATCTTAACTGGGACCAATGCCAAAGTGGTGGTAGAAATTTATGCTCCCCAATTTTTTGCTCGTCAGCTTGGTTTTGGCCAAACTTGGCCTGTTCCTCTTTGCTATTCGAAGAACTTAATTGATCGTTTTTATACCATCAATAAGGCGGAAGCAGAGGCTATAAACGCTCGCAACCTCCATTTATCAAGCCACTTTTCATTAGCCCCTTTTAATTCTTGTCATGCCACTCACCCTCTTTTTGAACAACTCTGGCCATCAGTGAAGCGCAGATTATTTGCGACTGAGGCCAATCGTGCCTTTCATTCATTAGACCAACCGAGTATTTCTTCTCCTCCTCCTGTTTTGGTCACTC